ACACACACACACACACACACACACACACACACACACACACACACACACACACACACACACACACACACACACACACACACACACACACACACACACACACACACACACACACACACACACACCTTGGACTGAGCAGAGCTGGCTCCCTCTTGTAAGGCAGGCACACTTAATGGTGCAGTTTTGGCTGTGGGACAGAAGAGAGATTGAGATTGTTACATTTTGACTAGAGTCTGTATATTCACTTCAGAACTGATTCAGACCTTTATGTTCAATTGATGTCTTAAACTCATTTAGGTTTTTGGGAGAGCTGCAGTAAGGCAGTGGGGAGGCACTGCACTCAAATCAGCTTGTTTAAATAGGACCAAGTCTCTCTGTATTCTGGGTAGCATGCCATTTGAAAAACATACCTGATTGGCTTTAGCATTGAGCTGCTCACCTCACAGCTACTGTTAACAGACTAATGGAACACTTACTAAGCCTTTTTACAGCACTATTGTGCAACTCCTTTCCTAAAGAATAACAGCTGCAGAACCACACTGACTTAGAATCAAAAAGAATGCTGCATCTGTCCCACACCGCGCCACAACTGCCTCTCCTGCAATGCCTAACATGGTGACATGGACAATCTTCCCAAAGAAGCACATAAGGCTTTGCAGCATTACGTTGATTTAGGTGAAACTGGATCCTATTATCATTAGGTCATGTTATAATGGTGCTGCAAATGAAGCTGGGTTAGTGATATTACATATCTAACGTTAAACGTCATTAATGTGTTAATGTGTTATGTGTTATAAATCTGTGTTAGCAATATTATTGACTTATTTAGGTATAGGTTATATAAAATAGGTTATTGCAGTTTCTATTATGTGGTGCTGATTGTCGCCATGGAAACACAGCTCTTAAAAGTTCAAGTTGTGAAAACCACCCCACAGAACACAGGACGACATATGTTCAGTAGTGGCTGAATTTCACATTTTTTAATGATTCAGGTTTTCTTTGCATTGTGTTAATTAGTTACAGCAGGTTTTGTTTCCACTAAAACAGTTTTTAGTGTCCAAGACCTGCTTTGAAAAGGTAGTTATGAACAGCTGTATCCGACCTACAGAGAATTCAAGCAGTGTCACATCAAAGACGTTCATAACAGTCAGTAGAAACATCAGACACCACTACTGCTGACATTTGAGATGTGTCGTATGGGAATGGACAGCAGCTAGCTCAGTGTTTCTTTAACACGGTGAAGGAAGCTGCCACAGATCAGGAAGTGATGGTAAGAAAGAACAACAATAATGATCAGTGTGCTTGTCAGATTGGCAGTGATTTAGTTTTCTTTATTCAGCTCATTGGCTGTCTACAGACCATCCTGCTGACTGTTGGGGGGGGGTATTTTACCTCAGGAATATTATACAAGCTTGACATCAGCCAGGATGTCAGTGCAACTAACTGCAACATAACCCCTCCCTGTCACCCTGTGTGTTGATCAGCCTTTTCGTGTCCTTCAAACTCACCTTCTGTGTGCCCAGTTTCTTCTCCACACCCCCAGCCAGCCCCCCCCCTTTGCTTTCCTTCCAGGGATAAAAGTTGGAGCGCGGAGAGGAGGAGGAAGGGGCGGAGCTGGAGGAGGGGGGGCGGTGCACTGAGGGTTTGGAGGGCGAATGCTCCTCCATTCCGCCCCCCTTTCGTTTCTTCACAAGCCCCTGGTGCTCACAGCCCCTTCCGCCGCCCTGCAAGTGAAGTCCTGAGTCCCCCCCGCCGGCCCGGCTGTGAGAGTTGTGGTTGGTGGACGACGGGTCTGGGGGGGAGGAATGGCCCAGAGGAGTGTGTGTCCGTCTGTAGGTCCAGACCGCCTTGGCGGCTGGTGAATGGGGTTCTGAGGGGGAGGGCTGGGGGCGGGGCTTGCTGCTGGGGGAAAGTGTGCCATTGGTCTGTCCATGTGTGAGCGGTGAGGAAATCGGGGTTTTAGAAGAAGAGGATGAAGAGGAGGAGGCCGCAGAAGGTGGGCGGCCCCGGTCCTGGAGCAGTATACAGTTCCTGTCGGGACCTGAGTGCTCACCCTCCTGGGAGGGGGCTTTGCGTTTGCGCTGGGCAGCAGCGGTGGCAGCCTCCTCCCGCAGCTTCATCGTCTGCTTGCTGGGGCGTCCAACAGGGTTCTTAAGATGCCCAGAGCCCCCCGAACGCACCGTCACAGGCTTAGCTGGAGAGAGCAGGTGACCCCCAGCGAGGCTGCCCCCGCTGACCCCCGAGTTCTCCGTCTGTATGGCTGTCGGGGGTCTTCCTGGACCTCGACTGGAGGAGGAGGTAGAGGAGGCCGTTTTGATTGAGGAGTTGATATGACTTCCTGTGCGGACCTTAGAATGTAACGAAGAGGAAGAGGAGGAAGAGGAAGAGGAGGAAGAAGAGGACGACGAGGAGGACGACGAGGAGGACGACGACGAGGACGACGACGACGAGATGGTCCGGGCCGAGGGAGGTGAAGAGTGAAGATCTGTGGCTTGAGGTATTTTCCTGTTTTCAAAGAAAATGAATTAGGCGAGACTTGCTAACATGTTCTATATCAGGGGTGTCAAACTCAAATACAGTGGGCCAAAATAAAAAAATGGGTACTAGTGGAGGGCCGGATTGGTTCAATGTTTATTGCAGAACTTATTGAAATGAACGTATTACACATATTATACCTGGAACCAACAAAGCTTCAATGATTGCCTATAAAAACAACATTAAACATGAAATAATCAGTTGCATTCATTTCTTATGGCTCTATCTGCAGCATTTCCAGAGTCATTTCTTATGATTACATTTTTCCACAGGCCAACAACAGCTTCAAAAAACCAAACATGCCCTGTTGTCGCACGAAAACAAGTGCAGAAGGAAACATCCATTGAAACTCAGTTTGCTGCTCTGTGATGCTAGTTCAAGCCAGATACTTGGCATCTCATGCAAGTTCATCACTGTTTGGGCTCAGGCTCTGAGCTGAGGAAATCCTCAGGATTGAGTGAAGGTGTGCGTGCAATATACCGGCGGGCCAGATCTATTAGTAATTAGAAATGATCCTGCAGGCCGAAATGAAATCTACCACGGGCTGCATTTGGCCCGCGGG